AGCAAGACATATGGATTTCCTGAATTGGGAATTCCATGCTGGCAATTCCCGGTCTCTTATGTGAATCCTCTTGCCCTGCAGAACGAATAAACTTGACATACAGAAGGGCAACAGAACATGCTGCTGCTGTCCTGGGGATTTCTAGTGCTGCTTAGCTCACGTTGAGCTGAAAATGAATGTAAATACAGTGTTGTAGAGTTACATATAACCACCTACTGGAACTCAGCTTTATATGAAATTCTACCGCATTGTATGACACCTAATTTCTAAAGTCAGAGCCCTTACCTCTCCTAACCACTGAAAGCAAGAGAGTGATGCAGACACTGGAATATTTGAATCAGATTGTGCAGATTAATTTTAAAGTACTATTGTCAGTTAAATGGTGCCATAAACATGTATGTGGCACTTATATACAGACAGAAAGCTTTAGTCACAGAGGTCATAATTTATGGCAATGAAAACTGGATTTTCTTGAGAGATGATGTAGAAAAGGGATCAAGATCTCAAGTCCAAAATTAGCACTGGACTTCTATGTGATGGACCTCAGTCATGCTGGTGAAGTGATCTGTTTGCTTACATTTTTCTATGATGCCACTTTTGATTTTAGAATATATGGGTATTTCTGTCTATTTACAGAGAGAAAGGAGTCATCATATTAATATTGAAGATCTGTAGGTGCAAATGTTCATATTAATGAAATAAAGAGGTTTCTGAGAGAGCCGAACTAAGTACAACTGAGTAAAAAATAATTAAATTCTTTTAGCTTCTACACTTAGCTTTCTGGTTTTGTGATCTATACATGTGCACATACCCTGTTTATACCTTTAAAAACAGCGGTGTTCGATTAAAATTAATTGCTATGTCATTGGACACGGACAGAGAAATCTGTGATTGCTGTGTCTAGGCAGTAAGAGTGGCTGAGAGAGGGAGATCTTCAGCAAATACTTCCTTTGTGACAAATGAAGAGAAACATTTTTGAGGCGAGGATTTTGAGCTTTTTCCAATTTGTTTAGTATTTTTTTGAGAAGTTAATTCTGGTAAATGTTACCAGACTTCTTGCCCTGAAGAATAGTTCTTGTTGTCTTGAAGGAGTAGAACCAGTGGAGAAGGAGGCCAGAGCCAAAGGGATTTTAAGTCAATAAATAAATGAACCTCCCTCCACAAATCCACAAGTGGTGCAGTGCATCAGAGCACAAGTTGTTAAATAATGTGTGGAGATTTTTTTTCTCTTCTCCTCTCCTGCAGCTTTTTGCTGGAGGCACTGAGTGGCAGAACATTTGAACGGCATAATCTATGTTCTGCTGACCTGAGCTTGTCAATGCTAATTGTGTGGCTTTAATTGCAAAAACACATTTGTGTTATTGAAAAGGATTTAACTTAAATCCTTCCTTTTCAGGACTAGTGTCAAAACGTTAAAAAAAGCGAGCCAGCGAGCGAGATGAGGGTAGCATCAGCTATCGGCACTGAATAAGCAGTGGGATGGTGTGATTCAGATTACACGTCTTGGCTGTCCGTCAGAAGCCAGCTCACTCACCACAGCTGTTCAAGGCATGATGGGCAGGGAACTGTAGCTCCCTGATAAATACAGCTCTTTTTGTTGCCCTGCTTGGGAAAAGTCTGATTTCTTTAGTGTGCTGGAGAAATGGGAATTTAAGTAGCTCCTATTCTGTGTTTGCAGCTGGGTTTGACAGCTGAAATTATTGCAGCGTGTGGAAACAGTACAGCTGAAAATGGGAGAGTGCAAGGTAGTTGTCCATCCTTCCGCTCAGGTGTTGCTGCTGCTAGCAGTAAAGCTGCCTGGTTTTTAGCTACTCCGAGATTGTTTTCTCTAAACCTGTGATCTCTGCTGAGTAGTGTTAGTGCAGCACAGTCCCTGCAACAGTGCCGTGCTCACAGAGGGATGCTCTCGGAGCGGTCAGTAGCACAGGGAGCTGAGCTGCGGGCCTCTTTCTTCAGGTGTAACTTTACAAACGACGAAGAAATTCCTAGAGAGGGACATCTTGTCTTTGTCTGAATGGCCGCACTTGCAAACTTGTGTTTGTTGCCTGCCGTTCAGCTATAGGGGCATCACGCCTGGTCAGGTAAAGCATATGGTGTTTGTTAGTCCCTCTCTGCGTGCCCTTAGCCAAATGAGAAGGCAACGCAAGATCTCTGCATTCGTTTTCCCCATTCGATGTGTCATTGTTTTGCCTTGAAGCATAGTGTTCTCGTTTGGCTGCTGTTGCTGAAAAATACTTTGGTCTGATGAAGCCCGATAGAAGATTGTGTGAGCATCCTCTATCCAGCTGGTCTGATAAGCAGTTTTCGATTAATTTTTGCCAAAAGATACTGCATATGCAAGGAATTTATTTTCTTTTGTCTGTAAGATGATCTATAGATTTCAGTAACACAGTGGGGAAGTGCTGTTTGTCGTTTAGAGAGAAGCAGAACTTGTGATGCTGCCAATTTTTGTAGCTTTTTAGTTACTTTTTACTTTCTTTATTTTCCTTCATGTGATCAGAAGACTGTAATTAGCTGTCACTCAATTTTTCCTGGAAATACAATGAAGGCACTGAGAAGCAGAAAGCAACATAAACAACAAAACAATTTGAAATCTGTCTGACTGGAAAGAAGGATAAAAAAAAAGGGAAAGACTTAAATTTAGCTTACATTCCTCATGATAATACAGTCACATTGTATAGGAAATATCCATTTGGATGGAGGAGGTCAGTGATGGTGACTGTGCATTAGGATGAAATTCAGTTTTGGGAGAGTTACTTTTTGGTTCCCTGCGGAGAAACCACAGGGCTTCAAGAGTCCAGGGAAGGGACACTCACTCTGTTTCTGCTGACACCACTGGCAGCACGAGCCAGCCCTGCTAGCACACAGCAGTAGTTTTATGCGAGAGATGGAGATGGCACTGCATGTCACACCTCAGTCTCACCACAACTATCACAAATATAGCACTGCAGGAACTACTAAAGCTGCGTGAGTTCACCGCTTTACTTAGAGGGCAGGAAGTAGGCAGGCACTTTTTTTTTCTTCATCTTGAGTTGCTTGGCTGGATTTTGGTGCATGTAGGATTCTGTGCATTGAAAAAGATCCTAATGGTTGAACGGGTAAAGCAGCGTTGTCGTACCCCATTTAAAGCAAGTCACCCAAAATGCTCCTACAACTGATTCCAACTTTGGTAGTCTGAACTGTCCACAGCAACAAAAGATCTTAACTCTCCTGATTGCCTTGTAGCCTTTGCTATATTTTTACCTATGAATATAGTTTTTGCTTTTTCAGTTTTCTCTCTGTCAGAAATGCGAAGATGGTTTTCTTTTAGCTGTATGTTTCTGTTGGTTGTTTTTCTTTTTTAATTAAATTAGGCAGAACAGGTGGCATTACTAAGCCAAGCATTGGTCAGTAAGCTAACACCAGTGCTGGTAGCCTAAATCACTTTAATCATATTCCTACCCCCCCCCCCCCCCCGCCCCCACCTCCCAAATATGTAAAAGGAAAGCACCTTACTGGGGTAAACACCCCAGTGTTATGTAATCTTTGTAGGACTATGGCCAAAATAAGAGGACAGTTAATTATTTTGACCTAAGTTTCTAAATTTCCTCTCTTCTTTCCAGAAATTCAAGATTATCCCAGGTTTTAGAAGTTATCACCATTCAAAACACTATTTAAATGGACTCTTGTCACATCAAAATTTGTTATGATTTCAAATTGATGCTCCTGTAGCCCCTGGGTATTGATACTGCATGGCAGGATTATTTTCTACCAAGATGTCAGCTGTTAAATATATATGGTAATTATTTCAGTAATTTCAAAATTGTGTAACTTGAAGTTTTCTTTTTTTAGGTGTATAACTTACAAAACACATTACTGTTAGTGATTCTACTGTTTAAAGATAACTGAGGAAGATGTTTTAAACTGCATTCCAGTTCTTTTAAACTACATTCCTCTTCCAGTTCAGTTGCATGCACGTTATTTTAATTTCTCTTGTTATTCTTTAGAAGAATAGTTTAAAGAAAAAAAAAAATCTTTTTCCATAATTTTCCATGTCACAAGCCTTGGAAAGTTCTTGCTATGGGAAAAGGTATGTTTTGCTTGACCTCTGCTGCTGAAATGCTCACTACTAAAAACCAAAACAAAACAGCTTCCTAAATTCTTTTTCTTAGTATGTCATTCATTCTTGTGAAAGAAAACACGGAGTTATAAAGTTACCTGTTGCCACCAGCCCGTTGTGTGTTGTTTTAAATCATATTTGCCATTCAGACCTCAAAATCTTAAAAAAAAAAGAAAAAGAAAAAATATTCTTTTCCTTTATAATTATACTGGTTGGAATTTATAACAGAGCATAACAACCAGGAAAAAGAGTAAAAATTTATTTCCTTAAGTGACAGTTTCACATTTTATTTAGATGAATATGTTATCAATAATTTAGTAAGATATTCTTTAATTCAAATAAGATCTTTCTCTTTTGTGTGAACCTCCTTTTTGTTTTTTTTCTTTTATTGTTGTTTTTCCTTTTTCT